CCGCGCTCCCGCCGGCCTGGCCTTCCCCGCACGAAGCCTCCGCCAAACCACGACGGGCTCGCGACGGCGGGGCTCAAGGTCACGCCGAGGGGCAGGGCGCCCGGGCGGGCGGGCAGGGCAGACGGCGGCCAGACCCGGCCCTCCTCCTGCGGTTCTCGCACCGCGAACTCGCTTTTGCCGTAAGCCCCGAATTTACTCGCAAAACCAACGGCCCAGCCAGAAGGGGAGGCGAGGCGAGCCGCAACCCCGCTCGGGGCAGGTGCTTCTCCCCGCAAGCCGGGGCGGGGGTCCTGGGCAACGAACCCCGCCGTCGGGTCTCCCGGCGACAGCTCGGGCGGCCCGCGCCAGGGGCTCACGGCCGCGGCGCTAGGCCCGGAGGCCGGCCCCCGAGACGGTTTCGGGTCGGGAAGAGTCAGCACTCACCCCTGGGCCCTCTGGAGCGTCCCGGAGACGGCCGCCGCCCGCCGGCTCCCGGGGCGCTCTCAGAGGCCGTTGGCCGAGCGCCTAGGGCAGCCCGGGCGAGGCACCCGCGGAGCGGCCCGCAGCGGGCCGGGACAGACGCGGAACGGCTGGAATTGGCCCCTCTCAAGAGCCGTAGCGGAAGCTGTTCTGTGGTCATGTGATGCGGGGAAGGGCGGAACCTACGGTTCACGCACAGGGTGCCGGAACGAGTGAGACGGTGTAAGGGAGACATCTTTGTTATGGGCAAAGCGCGCAGCCAAAGAATAACCAAATGCTAATGTTTGGTTTCCACTTAGGAATTTTTAGTGAGCTTTAATAACCTCGCTTTTGCAAGGTACACCTTCGGGAGCCAGTTAACGTAACTTTTTGCAGGACTACCTGCAACGAAATTTCTATGATGCGAAGCCCAAAAATCAGACCACAAGTCAATTTGGGAGGAATTCTTAGGAACTCTGGCTTTTTTGATTACTTATTGAACTCACCAGTTAAGAACCAAAGAAAGGCTGAAGTTAGGTTTCATGGTGGTTACCAGCCTTGTTTAGCTTCCCGAGATCCGTAAGTCTAACCCCCTGACTGGTGACTGTCCAAGAAGGTGTAGGAGGGGTGAATTGATGACCATGTGTGTTTTATTGTAATGTTTTTAAAAACGTGATCATTCATGGTTGTTTTTCATCACATCGGGTACGAGTTCAGCCTAGTAGTCTAAAATCTACCCAACCTATTCTTAACATACTTTTCTTTATTAACCACTGTGCGTATAGATATATCACCTTGACCATCAGTTATTCCCTAAACACTTCATTCTTTCCTATTTACCCATTCTTTTCCTTCCACTTGGAGTGCCAACCATGCCTCCATCTTTTGCTTCTTAGACCCCGTCTTCCCTTAAAGAATCACCTAAAATATTCCCGTTTTAAGGAATTATTTCCTGAGGCTTCCAACTTCAGATCCACTATTTGTTGTTGCTCATAGCACTTGCACATTCTGTCCAGTATTATCATTGCCTCTGTGTTTGTCTTATTTTCCCTTACTAGAAAATAAATTCAATGTTTGAGATGAAGTTCTATACCTCACTCATCTGAATATATACTGTAGACCTAGGTGTACTGATCGTGTTGTAGGTCTTGGATATAAAGTAATGAAATCTATTTCCTTAGCTCATAAATTGGAATTGAAGATAATCCTAAAGCAATAGTTCTCTAAAGGCTGTGAGCACTGTGAACATTTTTAGAAAAATCATAGAGTTTTAAAAAATCCCAGCAAAGACCATATTTATCTGAAGCTATACATTTGGCATGCTTATTAAAAACCAGTTCCTTTTTCGTCTGTGTTAGCTTGCGTGTGTGTTTCCAATAAGTAAATCTGGAATCACTCTTATGAGTTGGATGCCTAGGGCACAAACTGGAGGAGACACCCACTCTTTATGTTCTGTAAGTACCCTGCTAATGAGTTGCTAAGAATCCACTAGGAAGTTACAATTGTCCTTTCCCAACAGGCTGATAGCAGAGAGAAGGACAATGTGCCCAACCACAGCTTTTGTTCCACTTATCACCAGTAAAAATAGGTTCATTAAAATGAATTATATTAGTACACTTTTTTCCACAGTATTTTCAAATTAGATCTTTGCTTAAGTATGAATGTGTTTCTAAACAGTTATTTAAGCAGCGTTTTTCTTGGTCTTCTTGAAATTATTGTTCAGGATCACTGTTCATTCCATTTTTCCCCTTAATTATTATTTTCCTTATAATTACTTCTTATCATTTAACACACCTCCAAATTGCCTTACCTATGAGATTCCACATTTTGTATATTCTTTACCAATTCTCTACATTTAAAAATTTTGGGGGGGCTGGGGATTTAGCTCAGCGGCAAAGCGCCTGCCTGGCAAGCACAAGGTCGTGAGTTCGGTTCCCGGTACCGGAGAAAAACCAAAAAAAAAAAAATTTTTTTTGAATTATTTTCTGTGAATGAGGAGCATTGGTATCATTAATGGGAAACATCAGAATACAGGACCCATAATTTCTATATCTATAGGCTTTACTTCATTAGAAAAATGGACACTTCATTAGAAAAATAATCAAAGATATTAGGTCCTTCACCTAAAATTTTTAAAAAGCACTCAGAATAAATATTATTTTAAAGAGTCCTAATTAGAGTGACAGATGTTCAGCCTCACTGGTAATGAGCAAAACATCAAATTGATGAGGTGGGCAAAAGGCAAAAGAACAATAATAGTCAGTGTTGAATACTGAATACAGCAATAACAGTAATATTCAGAACGTTTCGCTAGAGAACATTTTTTGTGTATGTATGACAGGCCTAACATTGTGAATCTTTTAATTCTACAACTTTTCTTATATGATATTTGTCCTGAGGGAATATGTGAACTGACATATTTACAAAATGTCAGCAGCAAATCTAAATTTAGTGTGTATCAGTTCAGGATGCATTGACTTCATGCTATATATCCACACAATGGACTCTGATCCAAATGATGGTTGGCTCTTGTCTACTGATGTGAAAATCTGTTCATAGCATATTAAGCTGGAAAAAAACCCCTAATGTCAAAGTGTGGTTTTATTTCATTTTGTTTAAAAATATATTTATACAAAAGGGTTCTGGAATGGCATCCACCTTCATAACTTCTATAATGTCTATTGTTTTCCTAGAGAACATTTATTGTTTTTTAAAGTCAAGATAAATTTATTTCCCTTTTTAAAAAAAATGAAAACCAGTTACCATTTTTTCAGTTTTATTTTCATAAAACAATAATATAATATTTCAAGTATAATTACAGAAATATTAGTACAATATACTGTAATTTTGTCAGGATATAACAATATAATATATTCTATATATTTTAAATATATTTCATTTTTGTAATATAGTAAATATTAAATTTAGTAGCAGTAAGTTACATTTGATATATAGAAAAATCTTTGTAAGTTAGCAATAAAATTCAAATTTAAACATTATTTTAATACTCTGATAAATAAATTAATAATGTTTATATTGCAGAAACCAAGAACTCTGAGAAATTGGTTGTTTTAGCACACTGTGAAATTCTGAGGCTGAAGCCCCAATTTTAAAAGAAACCAGTTACTTACATTTTACCTACAAAGTTAAATCTGTAAAACCTTATCAGCTACTCATAAATATCTGGAAAATAACCCATGAGCTGTATTGTAGTGGTCACTCTTCGAATGGTGCTGAACATATGTTCATATGGCTTCACTGGAATTAAGGTTTAGCATCGTTTGTCTTCCTCAGAAGTTAAATACTGACCAGAGGGCAAGAGTAGATGGAGGAGCAGGCACGAGTGAGGGCCAGTCACTTGGCCTTAGCACAGGCTGAGGCTTTTATTACGAGTAACAGTAGATTTCTCTGAGGTCGTCTATGAGCTTGGACTTTTTAGAGGCAAAGATGGTGCCGTTGTGGCCCATTTCTTGGGTGTTTGCCTGGAGCAGCTTTTTGCAGTCTTTAGAGTGCATCAGAATCCTGCAGAGGCTTTGTTAAAGCACTGCTTTGTGGACCCTACCCACAAAATTTCTAATTTTTAAGTCTAGCATGGGCCTAGAACTTGCATTTGTACCAAGTTCCTGGGGATGCTGGTGTGGCTGACAGAGACCACCTGGCCCTCGTGCCCCAGAGGGTACAGTTTCAATAGGTACTTTTAGAGAAGGAATGTCTCAATGTTAGGCGCATCTAAGTACGTAATCTAAATAAATAAAACGCACATTTTAATGTTGACGTAAAAATGGCTTGACTGCAGTAAGTGAGCAGTGAAGAATGTAAACCACATCTGCATTGCAGGGTCGCATTTTCCCTTACACAGCAGTGGAGATGGGAGCAAGAGCCTGAATGGAAATATCAGCACCGCCAGTTCCACCTCAGGTGGACAAAGAAGCACCCTGAGAACTTTGTCTCGTGATGTCTGGCTTCTAAGACTCATCAGATAGTGCTATCGTCACATATAAACGTGTTCAAAACGCTTTGCACATCTTTGTTGTCTGAATATTGTCCAGACCTTAGATCCTGAGGTGCCTAAGAGAAGCTAGGAGTCTTGGACTTTCCCTGGGCATAGATTTTATTTTTCAACCTTTACTCAGGCCTGCTGAGTTATGATGATGAGATGTAAAAATAACAAGGGGAGAAAAGGGAGAGAGAGAAACTCATACATGTGGAATTCTTTTCGTTTGTTTGCTTTTGCTGCTGCAGCCTGAAAACAGGTCTCCTATATGCTAACACACGCTGTACCACTGAACCACGTCACCCACCCCTAAATGTGATTCTTAACAGAAGCAGTGAGTTATGTTTTAGGAGTCTTTAGATCAGAAACAAGTTTCTTTTCTTTCTCCATCTCTTTCTCTTCCTCTTAATGTCTAGTTTTTCACAGTCCCTGGGACATGGCTTGGTGTTGAAGAAAATGCTTGTTAAATTGCACCAGGCAACCTTGGGAATGTATCAACACACTGAAACACAAGTTTTAAGACATACAGTTGTCAAATTATACAATTTGTACATTAAGGTTTTTACACAATGGTTTCTCTCAATATGGATTGTAAGAATATATAACATAAAGAAAATTTTTGCACAGAAAAAATTTAAAAGAAAGTAATAAAAGGAACAAATACATAGAAGGAAGAATGTAATAAAAGGAACAAATCTATGAAACCAATTAATGAAATGTTTAGACAAAAATAAAAACATTTTCAGCTTGATGAGCCAACAAATCTCTAACATGCTTCCACAGATGATTGATCTACTGCACCAATTATATAAGGTATGCACCAACATTTACAGACATGAGGAGAAAGTACACATCTAATAAGTAGTGTCCTTTTGCCTTTCTTTTTCTTTTTCTTTCTTTCTTTGTGTGTGAATACATTAGAAAAGAGAAGCAACAAGTTTTACATATTTCAGAGTATGCCTATTGTAGTAGGCATATGTTACTACATATGCCTATGTAGTAACATCCTATTAAAATTAATTCACTAGGGGGCTGGGGATTTAGCTCAGCGGCAAAAGCGCCTGCCTGGCAAGCGCAAGGTCGTGAGTTCGGTTCCCGGTACCGGAGAAAAACCAAAAAAAA